CACGACAGTGACCCAAAACATACCACTGAGGAAACAAAGGAGTACGTTAAGAAGAAGCGCATTAAGGTCATGGAGTGGCCTAGCAAGTCTCCAGACCAGCCAAGAAACCTAAAAGACTTTGAAAGCTTCTGTAAAGAGAAGTGGGCTAAAATCCCTCCTGAGATGTGCGCAAACCTGATGAGCAACTACAAGAAACATCTTATAGCTGTACTCACTAACAAGGGTTTCTCCATCTAGTGCTAAATCATGTTTTGCTTGGGGATCAAATACCTATTTCTCTCACTCATGTTTTTTTATCCTGTATTTTGGCCGGCTGTCTCTTTAAAAGCAGATTTTTTTTATCTTAATGAGACGTTTTCAAGGCTATATAAAAATTACTGACTGCAGCTTCTACCTTGTGTCTCAAAATGGCTTGAAATCATTCAAGAGAGATATGTTTGAGAGATTACAGGTCAGCAAGTCATTTACATCAGTTTAAATACCAGCAATCACTTTTTGGCAAAGCCTGCAGAGGATCTTGTTTGTCGGTCTATGTCACAGCATCTGACTGCATTAAATCCTTCATAGATATTTTAAAAAGATAAGTCAGCATGTGTGATAATATCTCTCAAACATGAAAAGTGAAGTGGGCAAAACTGAAGCAAGGTCAAAGTGAATTCCCATAAAGCAACTCATTAGTGTGTGTAATTGAGCCCTCCATCATTTGCGGGGTAACTACGTTGGTGTTGCACTCTTTTGTGCTAAAACCGAACATAACCCTGATGACATGATCAAAGTTGTTTTCACTGACTTTAGAAATCTCCTCTGGGAGCCACAGACAAGATGCAACTGTTTTCTCAGCCCGTTTAGCGCCTCCCATAACAATTACGCTGAGTTTCACATGAGAAATCTGTATCGTGTGGCCTTAAATTTTTAAACATTCTCGTGTTGATGCAATCTGAGCTAAAATGACAGTAACTCTCTGACTCTTTGAAGCACGAAGGCAGCACACTCTCAGGATGAAATGAGGAAAATATAAGAGATTTTTTATGTGGAAAATGTGCGAGCTGGAAATGCCTCATATTGTGCTGGAAACTAAAATGCATTTCTCTCTGCAAAGCCTTTTCATTCAAAAAGAAATCCAATCCAAAAGTAAAGAAACAAATAAAAAAAGAAGTAAAAGCACACACAAGCACATGGACACTGGTTCAAAACTGAAGCGGATGTGATCTAATGGCATGAATAATGATGTGAAATTGAAAGATTTAAACTCAAAGAACCAATTTTTGGGATAAATGTGCTGAATAGTGCTGTCAGCACCAACTTTAAAACACCAAATTATAGAATATAGAATAAATTACAATCATAACTTTGCAGTTCACTTCTCATACTCCCCTCTCTAACACACTTTATTCTACGCCAATAGATTTAGGCAGCAGACTAGTAGACCCGAGCAGGGTGTATCACACCTCTGGTCTAATAACAGCCTGAATAGGCTCCGGTGCCGCTGCGACCCTGAATCAGGCAAGTGGTTAAGAAAACAGACAAATGGATGGATTGAGGGAGAATATGCATTGCCTGCAAGTGCATTTTGCATGAAAACTTGCTGCCAAACATTTCCACAAGAAGTATTTTATAGTTCTGCTCTGTGCTAATGAACACTACAGCAGATCCCCTTTAAGTATTTGTAACCACTCCTCTTATGAGTCATAAAACTGTGGTGTGTCTAAACAGATGGGTGGAAATAAAAAGAAACAATAAAACAAAAAAGAAGACAAAGTGGCTTAGTAAGGTGTCGGGCCACCGCGTGCTGCCAGAACAGTTTCAAATCTCTGGAGCTCAGTTGGAGGGATGGGTCATTGTCCTACCAAACACACTGATCCAAAGGCCACAGCTCATGATTCATGCCATTCTCATACTAATGAATATGGGCATTGTCATTCAGTAAGAGAGCATTCCTACAAGGATAGAAATGTTTCTTGATGTGATGTTTTAACATGCTTTGGAGTGACCTTTTCCTCTAAAGGCAGAAGTGGACTTGGGGAAAAAAAGTTAACTACTAGGACTGTACTGACTATATTTTAAGTAGTGTTTAATTTCTTCAATTATAAAATACAGAAAAATGCACAGATTTCTGTTAGGTAAAGTAACACAGGTTCATTGCCATTCCTCTGTGCAGATTAATCAACGGTCACACACAAAAGCCTATTTGAGACAGAAAACCCCGCACAAGTGTTCATGTCTTTCCTATAATTTGTCACCCATCTGTGCATGTGTGTGTCTCAAGAGAGCTAGTATCCACCTCCAAACGCTCACACGAGAAGACTTGCTACACATTCAGATCATTTCCTTTTCCCACATGTGCAGTGTAATTATACTGCAAGCAGTCATCTCTCTGGGCTTTCACTGGAAGGCTTTTCAGAGGTGCTACATACTGGCAGTGAAATCTACTGCCCTGACAGATGTGCTGCCAAGTGGGCCTCACACCTAAACGATAACCACTGTTCCAGGGATTCACTGCTTCAAAAAAAAAACCAAAAAAAAACAAACCTTCATGTCTGCCAATATTTTTTTCTGTTTGGTTTCAGGACGTTTCAAACTTTTTTTAAGCCAAACCAAAGAGTCTTTTCTAAACTGCTACTTGCATTGTTAGAAAGTTTTACCACCAAATGGCGGGTTGCTAATAAATTCTTGAAATTGTGGCTCTCACATTAAAAAATTGAACCAGTCTCAGGTCATCCTGAATAAAAAACATCACAACTTCCTGTGGGGACTAGTTTGACTGGCTGACAGTCCTGCAAAAGGCTGCAGCTTATTGGCTATTGGCAAGGCAACCGGTTCAAAGTGCTGGGCCACAGGCACCAAAATGAACCAGGCCCTCAGAGACCACTGTGGCATTTTACCTAAAAACACACGCACAGAAACACACACGTTCACAAAAAACAATTGTTCATGCTCTTCGTGTTCATATGCACCGTGGGCTTCCAACTCGGCCTTGCATTATAACCTTGAGAGCAATATGTGTCACTGGCATCATTATATCAAGGACCTGGCATTCATAAACGGGCAGAGGTATTGTGTGTATTGTGGTCCTGACAGCAGAGAAACTGGGTGCTCTGCAGCCCCAAGCACCAGCACACTGACCCACATCTCTCCATTTCTACAGGAGTTTTTAGAAATCTATCACCTGTGCACGGAGGCCAGTGTGGCACCAGCATACAGGAGGAAAAAAAACCCACAGACAGATTGATGTGTTTCTTACCCACTGATCCTCGGTGTCTACATGAGGTAAGACGCTCTTCCGTATTATATAAAAGGCCTGTCATTAGAATTAAGTGAATGTTTAGATGGTGTATACATACGGATCACTGGGAAAGTTGCTTTGTTATGGAACATTTGGCATAGATGTGTGATACAGCCACACTGCCACAAGCACCTTGAGTCATTCCTCTGCAACATGAAGATGTGCAACCACCTGTGCCCCTTCAGTTTTGTGTGCCAAGTTTCTCAGTTGTCTTTCATTCCTGTTGGCTGATACAGCTGATAGAGAATAAGAAAACTGAGAAGAAATAAAGACAAAACGAAACCTGAACACCAGCAAATACACCAAAGCCCAGTTAGACCTTCAGTTAGAATTTGCCCTTGACCCTGGAATGAGCAAACTTTGGAACATTTTGTGACATTTGATACTTTAAAAAAAGGCCGGAAAGGGCCCCTTATTCCGGTTTTGCCTTCCGTTTTTTTCCCTGGGCTGCTGTCTTCCTCTCTCCCTTTTTTTCCCCTGCTCTCCGGGCTACGTATTCAAAACCGTCAGCTCTGTCCTTCCATTGCGCCTTAGCAGGATTTTGACAGAAATAAAGTGGCGCACAGCTACAGGTTGTAGCGCTCACTCAGTCGATGAGGCGATCTGATTGCAGATGACTCCCGAAAATCGCACTTTACTCCCAGGAAGGGAAATCTCAGTAGATCCCAGAGAATGGCCTGTTGCTGGTGCGCATTCCACACAGCGCCGCGCCAAAGTTGTCAGCACCGCGCGTAATTACCGGCTTTGCGCCTCCAGAACGGCGCACAGAGGAGCAGCCAGCTGTTGGCTGAATCTGGAGACCATGAGCAACAGCAGCCGGCCGCCTGAGAGCGCGGCTGCACAAGTCAAAGAAACTCTATGATAAGATGCTACAGCCTCCTCATCTGCGCCTGCTGAGGTGGGAGGGAGACAGCGGGGTACCGGGTGTCGTGTCCGTGATGCAATGCGGGTACCGTCAATGTTACAGACCGCAGTTTTCTCCTCGTGTGCAGAAATCCAGGCGCTCCGCTCATCATATGCGGATCGGCGTCGCGCATTCGTCTTAATTAACAGCGGCCGGGATCGACTGCAGAAACAGAGGGAAGCTTGGAGGGGGGAAACAGAACATAGACTGAGTGTTGATGCTCGGTCATGCTCTGCATCCCTCTCTCTCTCTCTCTCTTTCTCTCTCTCCCTCTCTGCTCGCATGTGGCACCACCACCACCACACGCGCGCGCAAACACTTTAAGGTCCCATATTAAGCGTCGTGCGTCTTAATCATGACACGCAAACATAGCTCGGGTGCAGGAAGGTGAAGACAGCGGGGCTCAGTCAATGTCCAGACTGAGGTGGTAGGAGGATGAGCGCGTGTGACTGAAAATGAGGATGAATGGTGCACTCCCCACGTTGTCTCCTGTCCATGTGTGTTGACAGCTAATGCGCCTCCTTTTAACCTTAACCCTCACATGGCAGCTGAACTGGAGCCTCACCGCTTCGTCCTCCAGCTGCGACCCTAAAGGTAGCGCAACCCGGTGGGTGATTGCATGCATCCGGGTGCAGACTGTTCACTTCTCCTTCTCTGTCATGTTTACAAGCTATTAAGCGATCCTCGAGTGGGTAATCACGTTGCCAGTGATGTCACCTTGTCCTGCCTGCAAAGACCGCAAGCCTGTTTAGAAGTTACAAGCGGTGTCTTTCTATAAGCTTTTGTTTAAAAAAAAAAATGAAACATTTGCAATCTGCTGGGAGTTTAGGGCGCCTCAAATTCTCTAAACACATTAAGTCACGCATGCATTATGTCATCACACACAGGTTATACACCCACGGTGCTTACACACACCCACCTGCTGGCGCCTTTAGCTCCCTAGGACAGTTTGGGGACGTTTATGTACCCTGGCTGTGACTTCTATTGGCCAGCGCTAACCTGGACGAAAAGTAAATATCTTTCAGGACAGCTGTGTCAATGGATTCTTTCACAATAATAGATCATTAACCTGTTTTCCAGCAACGATGCTGTTCCCCGAGTACTACGACAGCCAACTCAGAAGCAAAATAGTCTCGCTGATATCAATAAAATGCCACTTTCAGTTTATAACATTCTGTTGTGCTGCGCAGCAGAGAAGTTGGAGCACATCCTGCTCTCAGGCTAGATAACACTCGCACTTCCCACTACTGAATGAGAAGGTGGGAAATCAAGTGGTGAGAAGACAAACAGGACACCACAGCAGACTCTGGGCATTTTCCACATTTTCAATTTCTGGGCACATCTCTTAATGGAACAAATGTGGACTCATACGGAGAAGCCAAGCAGGGCATGGCTTTAAGCAGTGAGTACAAAAGGTTGACTTATGAGTCTTTTATTACAAACTTTATTGGGACGGCTCACTTTCAGCATGTATTTCTGACCTTATCCAGGACTTCTGCTGCTCTGTATGATAGCCTCTGAAGTGTGGGACAGTGAGACCAAGTCCACAGAGTTTGTGTGCAGTAGAGCAGCCAGAAAGGCTTTGAATATTGTGCCCAAGATGTCCAGTGCACTGGTAAGAATGTCACTGCCTTCCTCTCTGGCTTCAAGATCAATTTATTTTAAAGAAATGGGTTGTTTCACAACCTCCATCTGGATGCTGTATCTAATCCGCCTGTTGTCTGTTGTTACCTGTAGTCAGCCTGTCCACCTGTCTGTCTTGTCTCTGTCACTTGTCTCTCCCGTGTCTCCTCCGTTGCAGAGTAATTGTAATGGCTCGGCAACCCTCTCCACACAGGTTCAGCTACCCTGCACTGAGCTTCACGCAGCATCTTGGGAACACAAATCGGTAATGCTGGCACACATATGAATCCATCCTCCACCGCAGCAGATTTGAGTAAAACATTTGGTAGCACTTTGTACAACAGCCCACAGCTTATGGTGTAATTTCCCAGTATTCACAGTGTGTTTTGTCTGAATTTAGGGTGTAATGTTCAGCACAATAGGCACAACAGAACAACTTGGTATCAAATTGGAGGATTTAAACTAATTAAGGAACAAATTGCACTGTGAGCATTTAGCAGTGAACACATTTTGGGTTATTATAAAGCAGGCCCAGATTACACTGTCAATATAATATGGAGAAAGATACCTTTGGGCTATTTTAGAGGAAAAGACAAACACTGCTTCCTCATTAAGGCTGTGGGCTGCATTATGTAATATCTTAACCTCCCCTTCTTACATTACTAATAGACATTTAGGGTTCATCGTCAACTTTGGGTAATTTGGGAAACATTAGGATGCTGATATACACAAAAGGTTCACATTAAGCAAAATACTTAAAGTATAATTCGTTTATTCTTTCCTTTAAAACCTTTTTGTTCTAAGTATTTTTAGGTACTGAAAATTACTCCCTAAATCAAGAAAAATTACACGTAAAATGATCGAAAATTGCACCATAAGTCATGGGCTTTATTATGAAGTGCTGCCAAACATTTTATTACCTCTCCTCCCTTTTCTGAATGTGCATGTAACTGCAGGAGCGGGAGAAGAGAGGAGAGATAGTTGCATCTTTAAGGCTTCTTGTCGAGGGTGTGAAGTCTGAAAGGAGCCTCAGACCGGCAGGATGTGGCGCTTTGCTGCTGCAGAGACTGGAGAACAACATCAACAACTACCTGCTCATCCTCACTCGCCTTCAGCTGAGCGTAAGACGCACTCACAGTGACAAGTTGCATGCAAACAAGCTCATAAGCACTCCCAGTAAGCACCGATTTGCCGTTCAGTGTAAGTGCAAATGGTAGACTAGCTGTAAATTTGGCCACAAAATTTCTGAATGTCTTGGATTCAGATATTTTCTTTAGGTAACGTAGAATTTCAGCTCCTTAGAAGCTTTCACTGTCAAACTAAAGTCTGCATGTCTTCTCACCTGCAAATCCAAAAGCTGACTGAGTGTCTCTGTCACTCAAGCACATCAGACACATTACGACACGTGTTGTGTTGATACAAGTTCGCACATCGTGAGGGAACACATGTAACGGGGTTCTCTACCACTGGTGTGCATGTGATACAGAGGCATTATCAGCTTCCTCTGGCGTGGAAATATCCTGGTTTCTCGTAAGTCTGTGAGTCTTTCTGGAATCTCCGTGCACTGGAAGCGATGATGTTATGCTGTGTGACCCGAGCTTTCCTTCCTCAGGACATGAAGAAGATAACAGCGCATACTTTGTTAGTGAGAAAGTTGTTCTCAGAAGTCAGAAGGGCAAGACCACAAACTTAAGCTCAATGTGCGTGAGCACAGGTTTGCTGTTCACCCAAAAAGAAATTATATTTGACATGAATCTCATATTTTTAATCATCCAATCAGGTGTAAAGTGAATAAAAAATTTACTACAGCACTAACAAATATAGAAATAATTATTTTTAGTTGAAATAATAATAATATTTTGCTTTGTTTATGTCAAAGAAACGACAAAGCATGTCAAACCTTTGACAGTCTTCTTGTTAGATGTAAAAGGCTGACAGTGTATTGTCGTCACCCTGCTAGGCTGGCAGTGTGGTAACCCAAGGTTGTGAATGCGATAACTCATGAATGAGGCGACGTAGGATTTTGAGATTGGCGTATCTGCTAGAAATCTCCAAGTAGTCTGAATCCCAGTGACATTGACCTCAAGGTCAAAGTCAGTCGTTCAACTTTCCTGAAAATCATCTGCGATTTTTCAAATCTATATCATAAGTGCTAGCAGGCTGAGGAGTAGCACTGCTAGTATTTTAAATTTTCAGCGTGTTCAAGCCTCATAAAGTGCTTCTCACAAGTGTGCTGCCTGCTCAATCAGGATACTTGCTACCTGCTTCTTCTTTAAATAGTTTGGATCTAGTGCTCGGTCCTGTCATAGGAGCAACCTGGCTCCAACTATGCAGCATCCAGAGGACCGATAGGACTGATAGCCTTCCTTATTAAAGATTCCTTTGATCCTGTACAAATCTCCCATTTTATCATCGTATTTGTGAGCCCGTCTTTACCTTTTAGTGGACAGTCTTAGTTGGGTGTTATTTTTTAATTTACAGCTCTGCCTCCAAGACCATTATCTGGATGCTAATCTAATCTAATCTTCATTTTTATGCTGTTTAGAGTCAGTTTGTGCTTTTCTATAAAGCGAGTGGTAAACACTTTTGGTCCATTTTACAATTATAATCATCCATAAAAAAGATGGATGCTCCAGATAATGACTAACTAACTAACTAAAGTTTAATTAAACAGCAGGAAAAAAAAAAATCAGCTGTGCTACTACAATACAAAAATAGTCATCAAATAGGAAATAAAAGATCTTTTTAACTATAATATTAGGTAATAGAATGTGGTATTAAAACACGCCGAGGCTCATTAATGACAGTCATTAAACCACTTACTGTCAATAATAGCCCAGTTCAACAACAATCTCATTTCCAGGTGACTACGAACATTTTCACAGACTTCATGCTCTTCCCCATTTCCATTTTAAAAACTACACATCATTGCTGTGTTTCCTATTTCAACCACCAGGGGGCAGTGGTGACTCCATCGCTGTCTTGTGTTCCTCGAAGCACTCAGAGTCTGAGAACAGTCCTGATGAGTTACAACCTGCTGATCTCAGCCAAGCTGGAGTGGTTCATGGTTGGCCTGGAGCACAAGTGCACCAATTCCCGGTGACACGGGAGCAGCTTTTCACTACTGCAGCTGGGGGTCGCTCACGAAGGAGGTCCATCAAAGCAAAAACTGGATTGATCTACATTTTTTTCCGTCACCTTTTCGCAGAAGTCACTGTTATGGATGTTCTGTTTTTCATAGCCAGAAGAGAGTGAATATTTCACTATCTGTCGGTCATTAAGAGAAAGCAAAGCCAGGGTAATATGAATATAAGAAAAATGAATGTATGATATTGAGGCGTTTTATGTTTGTTTGTTTTAGTTTTATCTTTGTATCATTCTGCAGGTCAGTGGAGATGCTTTAAATACGACTGTAAGCCTGTAGATCCTACAACAGGCTAAAATCTGCCATGTAGCGTTTTTATGATGCCTTCAGACAACATCTGTATTATCTAAATCCTGGTTCCAGATGTTTTTCAGCTTAATAATGTAAACAGAATGAGACTTATTCCAACATATTTGTTGCTCTTCAGCCCTGCTAATGCTGCAATATCTTTTTAGGAGAAAGCAAATGTGTTTTTCTCTTTGCACTTTTAAATCTTATCTTGTTTACCCTTTAAATAAGAGCATTGCTAAATAAGTATGCTGCTATTATTATTAGCATTATTATTATTAATATGATTATTATTTGCTTTTCTAGTACAAGAAATCTCCGTATTGTTGGAAAATTTCTCGATAGAATTCATATATTTTGCATTTAAAGATACATTATTCAAAATAATTGTGATACAGGACTTTTATAATATAGACGGAAGACAGAAAGACTGTTTTCTGTTTTTTACTAATCATTTAATTTATTTTAATTGATTGTTGTCTAATAAAAACAAAAAAGAAGCTAATTATAAGGAGACGAGACTGGACATTATTGGACGAGCCCTTGCAGGAAGCAACGTCATTTTTGTCTCCAATTAGCAAATTACCTGCCCAAGGTGAAGGGCTCGTGCAGGTGAGGCGTGGAGGTAAATGGCGGCTCTCGACGTGGATGGCACGTTTCACCATAACAACAATATAGAACTGGTCTTTTATTTAAATAAAGTTGCACTTACCAGTTATTATTGATAATCTATGATGTCAGAAAAAACGCCTTTATTACACTACCGACTGACCACTAGCGGCGAGCCGTCTGATGGATCTAAACGCACCGGGGTCCGAGGAGGGGTACACGCCGGACGATCCAAGGATAGGGCGCCTCAGAAGCTCGGGGTGCTGTTTGGAGTCGTCATTCCAACTTTACTGTCCATGTTCAGCGTTGTTGTGTTCTTGCGGATTGGTGAGTATCAGCAGGAGATCTTAAAAAGACTGAAAAATAAAGTCTCTACCTCAACAAAAATGAGTCCTGACACGTGTTCAGTGGATTATTTGTAGCCAAATAAGTGGTTTTCAATCATTCATGTCCGACTCCAGAATATGGAGATATTTTACTCCCCACACCCATTTTTTCCCATCAGTTATGGACAATTAAAAATGAGTTTAACTTGATACTGACGATTAGTTCACTAATATCACCGGTTAACTCTTATTTCCTCATTTTTCTCTGGACATCAACGCCTCACCTGTGCTATGGCCCTCTGTGAGGATCCACAGGTGCAAACTAGGAATTGATTTGGTTTGGTTTTCGGCTTGTTCTCCTTTAGAAACTTTATAAAACAAAAAACTCCCATAAAGTTGTTTTATGAAACAACTTTAGAAAATACCAAATGCCTCTAGGGGTTTAAACCTGTGGCATTTCACTAAAATAGCCTGGGCCTCAAGATTTTATAGGTCATCCAACTAATCATCTAGATGGTGTTTTTAATGGATATTCAGGGGAGATGTGGGCTGATTAAACCTAACCTTGTGCTAATGGTCATAACCTTCCTTGCTCATTCATCTGCTTTTACAAATGCCTGGACCTTTTTTTAAAGCAGCTGTCTGAAGACCTGTGTGTGTTATTATGATGTACGATACACCTTTTATACAAAACAAGAAAACACAAATGTTTTTGAACTGTTTGAAAAAACATGTTCGAAACAAAAAATGACTGAATAGGAAATCAATTGAACATAACATTTGACCGCAAACTATTTTTTTCTGTTTTTTCTGTCTTTCAATAATGCAAGAAAATAACTGTAATTTGGCAACTTAATTTTTTTTTAAAGTGCTTTACTATTTTCTACTTTCTAAAGGTAATTTGAAACTTCATGGAGAACAATAATTATTTAATTTTAGTGTTTAAAATATTTCCATTAAATCGCTTGTGTAAACTGGTGGATTAACCATTACAGAAATGTAAAAGCTGATTTTGGTCATTACCAATATTGTTAATGTGGGGCAGCTGTGGTATAAACCTTACACTGGGTTGTCTACTAAGTTCGTTAAGCACTTTCAGTGATTACATTTATTAAATGCTTTCCACAGACATATCGTCATAAAGTGCTGTTCAACAAAATAAGATACAAAAAGAAAAATCGTAGTAAATAATCAAAAATGACAATAAATAACACAACCATATTTTAAAAACAAAAACACAGGTAAAAAGCAGATCCTAAAAACAGAGAGGTTAAACACAGTCACCTAAACGTAGCTGGAGTGGGAGACTATTCCCAGTCCCCCTAACTACTAAATTCAGAGCTTGTTAGCAAATCCTGCAAAAAGCAAGAATTTGAGAGTCTGGACCATAGCACTTTGTATGGTGTTGAGGTTAGTATGACTACTTGAACTCAAATTCTGAAATCAAGTGGAAGTAGGTGGAAAGTAACACAGGAATAATCTGGGCTTGCTTACTGAAACATATTAGAAGTGTGGCTGCAGCGTTTTGTATTATTTGGATGCGTAAAAAAAGGTAAATCGAGAAATACGGTAATCTAGTCCCAGTGACACAAATGCAGCTGAAGTGATTATGGCTCGCTATTCAAAGATCTGTTGAATCTGAGTAGACTTCGGGCCTCCACTCTGCACTGCACGCTCACTGTTTGAGGAAAATTCTGCTTGCATGTTAGAAAATAGACTGATACTGAAGCTGTGCAGTCAGGCTCTGATAGTTATCACGTCAGCCTGTAAAACAGTCCAACCCGTACTTATGAATCAGGGCGCTGAGTTTGGAGAAGTTACTACTGCAAGCTGTGAGTATTCAAACTGCAGCAAATGTTTGATATTTCTCGTCTGATAGATTTTAAACTTGTTTCAATCATTTTTATTATTATTTTTTAAATGTGATGCTCAAAGGTTTAAAGTGATTTTAAAAAAAGGATGTTCCGTGAAAGATGTGCTGTTACTTGCTTATTACAGGATTTGTTGTGGGCCAAGCAGGGCTGTACCATTCTATTGCCATGTTCCTGGTGGCCTACTTCATCATCACAATGACTGTGCTCTCCATCTGTGCAATCTCCACCAATGGAGCTCTAGATGCTGGAGGTGCCTACTGTATCCTTTTGTTGCTTAGAAAGGGAAGTGGCCTTTCAAATCACACCTTGTTTATGAATTCATTAACACACTTATTTTTTCCCTCTGATTTGCTTTATTGCTGTATATCCTCTAGCTGCACAGGCATCTCCTTTGTTTCTTTTCAGGTCTTTAGCTGCCTCTTAAAGGGGAAGTATTGAGACCAAGTGTTTGGCGTTTTATATTTTAGAATCCGGCTGCAGTCAAAGGTCTTCTCTTGACTTTGATTGAAAATGTCTTGAGGTTATGTAAGGGAAGACGTGAAAGAGATGTCATTCAAATTCAGGAAAAGATAGCTAAGAGAATGCAGCCACACTAGGCTGCTTAATTGTGTGATGGCAGCAAGTCGTCTTGAGTTGTGCACCTTTTAAAGCGTGTCTTAGCTTTGGTCCATGTGTACTTTCATGCAGGCTAGATAAAAGATGGATAAAATTCAAATAAAAAAGACACCAGTGTCAAAATTAAATCGGTATTATTCCTTTGAGCTTTGCTGCTCTCCTACTGGCCCACTCATTTTTTATTTTTTTATTTTTTTAAATTCTAAATGAAGAAATGATCCCTTGTAAGTCCTTCCCATTTTGGTCACAGATGCTTTCAAAATTAAATAATGCATGATAATCCTAAATCCTGCCAATAATTGAAAAATTAGGTTTTAAGCGATGCAATGGCTTACCTTTAAATATTGTTTCAAACTTTATATTCTTAGTAGCCTCTTTATTAGGTACACCTGTTGAACTGCTTACGACAGCAAATAACTGTCCTGCCAATTACTTGGCAGTAACTTAACATGGTTCAGACAACCTGCTGAAGTTTAAAGCGAGCATCAGAATGGGTAACAAAATAGATTTAAGTGAGTTTGAATGTTGTATGTGTGTTGGTGGCAGACAGGCTGGTCTGAGTATTCAAAACCTGGAGGACAAAAACAACGCGAGATCAGAAAGCGGCAGCAATTTGCACAGCCTCACTAAAACTGGAGAATCGAAGACTATTTAAATAAGTCCTGGGATGCAATAAAAAATACATCCTTATTAACACGATCAGTTCCAGCAGTCGTAGACCATTAGCTCTTTCTCTTTTCTTGTAATGATGGTCCACTGTATTCTTAGGAGATTAGAAGTGAAGCATTGAAGAAACTTTCATTCTAATTTAGAGCATTCATCCATGTTCATGACACTTGAACACTTTAGGTCATTTCAGTCCTTTAAGACCCCCCAGGGAAAAACTAATTATTCCACTGCCACCCTCAAGTCAGAAATCCCTCAACTTGGACCACCAGACATGATCAGCCGAGCCCTGGGTCCAGAGTTTGGTGGCAGCATTGGGATCATGTTTTTCTTTGCCAACATTTGCAGTAGTGCTCTCTACATTTTGGGTTTGGTCGAGGCTATTACATCTACCTTCGGAGTCCCAGAAGGTGAAGTCTATTGGGACAAGATGGGACATGTAGATGTTTTGGCTTGTTTATGCACTAACTCTGTTTTATTGTCACTCAGAGGGTGCTGCAGCTGCTGCAGGTCACCATCACATGCTGCCATCCGGATACTGGTGGTCTCTGCTTTATGGCACCGCCCTGCTTTTCCTGTGTTTCATTGTGTGCCTGGTGAGATTGGAGTTTTTCATTGCCCTTCTTTTAGATATATTCTAAGATTATTGAGATATTTACTGTATTGTATGAGAGCTAAACAAATAAAGAACTGAGGAATTTGAATGTTTTAAATCAACAATTATTACTGTTCCAAATTTATTTTTTAAGCTATACTTTTCTTTTAATATTTATATCTGAATTTTTGATTCATGCATAGAAACAATGTATAGATATTTAAGTGGAGTAACTTTACCAGCTTATGATTACAGGTGGGAGCCCACATCTATGCAAAAGCCACCTTCATTATCTTCATCGTAGTCATGATGGTCCTGGCTTCGATCTTCATTAGTTTCTTCATTGTGGGGCCCACCGTGGTGACTCTGTCACACACGTCTGCAGTGAACACCACCAGCATGAGCACTGCCAATTATACAGGCTTCAGGCTGCACACGCTGGAGGGAAACCTGTTCTGTAAGCATTGGACACGTCATCAGATGTGTTGATTGGCTTTTATTTAGTTTTTGCTTTGTAAGGAGACAGAAAAATGCAATTACAGATACAGTTTTCCAATAACGCTTTGAATTAGTAAAAAAATGCTGACATTTACATTCAAACATCCTTTTTGTTTGTATAAATGACACAGTTGAGCCTCCTGTTACTCCCTCTAGCCGCCTACACGGTGGACTACACCACTGGTGCCATGATGAGTTTTACCAGAGTGTTTGCGGTCATGTTCAACGGCTGCACTGGAATCATGGCAGGGTCCAACATGTCAGGTAAAACTTCATTAAAAAAGATGAGGGAAAGCAGTGGTGGCTCTCTCTAGCTGTATGTCACTTCAGGAATGATGAAAACAACAAGTTTAACATGCTGAGTGTTATAATTCTCGCAAAAGCCATAAAAGAAAGTCCTGTCAGAGGATCCATAGGCCAGAGAGTAAAAGCCTGTAGTTATTAATATCAAATAAAGTACAATGATTTTGTTTTTAAAATTTACCACTTTTTTTAAATTATTTTTTTAGCTGCTGTGGTGTGTAGAAGTATTTTCCTCCTTCCTAATTTATTTTTTTCGTTTTGTCACACAGATCATCAAATTAAGTTATTCATCAAATAACTTGTTACATTTCAAATCTGCATGGGTCTATGTGGTATAGCATTTTTTCTCTTAATAAAGGAAATAATTTAAACATTTAAACTGCATTTTGTATTTACTCTGGTTATTTTTTGTCTATTGTTAAATTCCGTTTGAAATAAAACATGCGAATGTGACTCGCATGCAAGGAAATCAGCGAGGGGAAAAATACTTTTTCACAGCACTGTATTTACCAGCAACTGTTGACAGCCTGAAAGGAAAAATATGCTGTGAGAGTGTACGTAACAAGCTGTAGGTAATCGCCTGCTTGCAGAGCAAAATAATGGGTTGACTAACGCATCTCGAGAACTGCAGGTTTTTCTTGGATCCAGGCGCAGATTCGGCACGCCGTGTATAATGTGGGAAAGGTCTGAGTTTGGCCAAACCTTAATGTTACTATGTTTAAATGTGTTCAACATGGATGCTGATTTATTTTTCCTTCTTCAGGTGATCTGAAAAACCCTGGCTATTCCATCCCGAGAGGAAGTCTTGCTGCTGTTTTTACAACTTTCATCACATATAATGTGCTGAGTCTGCTGGCGGCATGGTCCTGTGACCGGTTAGACACACAACACACACAGATACTCTGAAACAAGTATAAACAACTACTCTTGTTTAAGATGTTGACAGTCACTGCTTTCAGAGTCGGATCTGTGAAAACAAAACTGTCTGTTTTACAAAAAAATTTTTTTCCTTCCCACTGTCACTAAGTGCTTGCTCACAGGAGGTCGTCTGATTGTTTCTTTCTAATGTTATAGCATCCTTACCTTACAATATAAAGCATCTTGGGGTGACTGTTGTTGTGAATTAGAACTATATAATTAAAATTTAATAAACTTTTTAGACTTTACAACTAGTTTCACATGTCAAATTTTCCCAATTTCTCCTAGTTATCTTCTCCAAAGAGACTACAGCTTCCTGGGGGACATTAATATATTGCCACCCATGGTCACAGTTGGCATTTACTCCTCGGCCCTGTCTGCAGCAATGAGTAACCTTATTGGAGCCTCCAGGGTGCTGTACGCCCTGTCCAAAGACGACCTGTTTGGTGAGATTCTTGAGCATGCGTTTTGCTGCCTGATGATTGTAATTTGGATTTCTTGTTGTCTCTAACATTAACAATTTCCTATAAGAAACCATCAGATGTGGATGCTAACCTTTCCTGTAATAAAAAGGAGTTAATTACTAATGATCAGGCTGAAGTGTTGATCTGGATTATATAAAAGCATATCCAATTCATCTGGTCTTCTGTAGCTGAGTCGACATTTTAATATTCAGCCATCTGCTGAGCTGGGTCTCCATCTCAAGTGTGAGAAATTGTCACTTGTTATTAATTTCATCATGTGTCATTTTCCAAGTGGAGACATGTTAATCTGGAAAGCTTCGTTTGACAACAGATGGCACACGGTGTTGACTTTCTCAAAAGGAAAAAAAATCCTCGTGTGACTCAGTTATTTATTGGATTTGGGACGATGAGCGAAACAGACAGAGAGACTTTGCTTTTGTTAGTTGTCTAAATCTCTGCAGGCGGTGTTCTGGCTCTGGCAAGGAAAACCTCTCAAAGTGGAAACCCCTGGGTCTCAGTGCTTGTCTCTTGGTTGCTTGTGCAGGTAGGATATCAGTATCACATCATATGTTTGCATTTTCCTCTGTGCTTGAAGTTTAGACAGTCTCGCTTTGAAAGCAGATATCTCATTAGCTTATAGGCTGAGCCATCTTACACTGATTGTTTACACATACCCAGTAATCTAGGATACAGCAACCAATTCAAAATACCTGATGAAAATAGATGAATGGTAAAGGGCAGACACATCATCCTCCAATTCTTCTTGGTTATACTATGAAGTCCTTCCAAACACCTCAGTTCAGCATGACACACAGGTTTTCTTTCTGCAGTCTAACGTCCTCTTCAATCAGTTTCTTGCGTCAGAGATGGTCCGCCACAATGCCTCTTAACATCTGTGTCCCACAGCGAGGCAGCCCCAGTTGTCTCATGTTAAAGCATCACATGGCCATGATGAGGTAGTCAGTGATTGCGGGTGACACTCAAGATCTTCAGTAGGTTCCTGTAGGTGATGGGGCTCCTCCTGGAAACATTTAGGATGGCACGAAAAGACTGCTGGGTGGCAGATGTGGCTAATAACCTCTTCGTAGGACATGCTCGTTAACTACTAACTGAAAACACTCCAGAGTTCATTCACATCACCACAGACGGCAGCCTGTCTTGCAGCCTGATCATCACTTTGAAAACTAGTTTTTGAGCTCTCTGGCAAGAAAACTGAAGAAATTTTCATATAAAGGTGCAGGAAGACCCAACACTTGGAAAATACTGCTTTCTAAAACTTCTCTCCACTGATGTTGAGGTCTGTCAGGTATAGTCCGTGTACTAACAAGAGGAAACCTCACCCTTCTTGAAGACTGCAGTTGCCATCACCCTTTCTTACAACCACCTTCTGCTCAAACTAGTACATCAGTATGATCAACATTGGCCCATATTCTGACAACGCAGAGTCCTGGAAGAGGCCACGGCCCCTGTAAGGAAGTCTGTCAATAGAAAATTGTACTTAGTAGTCAGTATAATCTTTTAATAATATAAGTTTACATATAGTAGTGATAGGATATGCGATCCTTAATAGTCTGCAAAGGCTTTGTGTGCATTCCAGAGTGCTCTGGCATTCACACCCACATCCTGGGAGCATGGGAAAGGTCGTACCTAAATGTAGCTATGTCAGTTTTAGTCTAAGTGCCTTTTTTACATTTAGATGAACTGTTGGATTTTCCAGACCAGCAGGTTTAGGGAAGTCGTTTATGGGGTCACACTCTGACACACACACACACACACACCACCACACACACACACACACACACACACACACACACACACACACACACACACACACACACACACACATACACCTCACATTCCAATGTAAGGAATAAACACCCACTGATGTATGAAATAAAGACCAGGGCAGTCTCAGAGTGCGAGTCCCTGAGCCCTCACTCTCGTGCGAGAGCTCAGAGCTGCCCTTGCTAAGCAACAAGTGAAACTGTGTGTTTCTCCTCTCTGATTCTCAGCTAAAGAAGTGTTTTAGAATACATCTCTTAACAAAGTCGTGCTTTATTGCCTTGATGATCAGTTGTAATATATTGTTGAAGACCCTGCTGGAGTACAGTTTCCCCCCGACAGTCACTTGCACCTTTAAAGTTATATCATTACACTCGACATGCTTTGCAGTACTGATGGCCCCACTCAGAGAAGGTTCCCAGCATGCAGCTGTTATCCTTCAGAACCTCGATTTTGCAGATAACATCTGCCTTCTTGAAGACACGATTGAAGTTGCAAAATAATTTCTGCACAGACCCAAAAGTGCTACTCAGTCTGTACCTTAACACTTAAGACCAATGTCATGCACATCAGTGGACCAGCTTATTGCCCATTTGCCAAGTATGGCTCTGCCATCAAACCATAGACGCCCTCAAATGCATGAACATGTTTACAGTGGCAACTGTGACTTGGCGAAGCTTGGCGAGCTTCTTGTAGCTTTGCCAAGGTGCAGAAGGCTCAGATTCAAAAGTTAACCAGACTCAAAGTGTCCAAGTCACATTTTGAAGGGATCTTGTTCTCTTGGTCTGAATTATGGACCCTGAATAAAATTTGAGGAAACTAGTGAAAAAGTCAGTAATAGCATATTAAGAAAAGTAATTTAAAAAATAAAAGAAAATCTTTCCACTTCCACCCTGTCTTCTGTTTCTAATACAGGTGGGGAAAAAATAAATTAGGATGTGTGTAGTGATGCTGCATCAGCACTGACGTCATACACTGTTTGCTAAAGGTGCAGTGCTGTCTGCAGTTGATTGTAAATGAAAGCTGGAACAGAGGAAGAAAAATCAAGAGCAGACAAACTGATAGCTCATTTAACTTTGCTCATTCTTCAGCCGCTGCTCAGCGATGCAAAAAGACTTTGAGCATCATTGTGCTCAGCTTCAGATTTTCGCTCATTTGTCGAGTGAAGAGGACTCACAGCTTGAAAGGTTCTGGCATGGAGACGGAGCTGAATGTTGTCAAACTAATAAGTGAATTCTTACAGTACCATGCTGCTTAGCTTCAGCTCATTAGCTCGAGTGAAAGGATTTTTCAGTAAATTCAGATACAGTGTAGCTGTTTAAATTTGTGGTGTCGAGGCAGCCGGGGGTTCAAAGCTATCATAGTCGACGTATGGTGAGTTTTATTGTTGCAAACATTGTTCTGTTGCATTTTAATGGTGCATGTCAAAGCCTGTTCACTTGGTATCATTTGACTGGATATTTTTCTGGACTAAAACAGAAGAATTTTTGGTCTCAATGGCATATCAGTTTGAGATTTTCTACTAAAGCCACTCTTAATTTTCACTAAAACCTGTTTTTTCCAATCGCCTCCACTAGATGGTGCTATTTGCAGGTAAATTGAACACCATTGCTGGTATTGTAACCATCTTCTTCTTGTTGGTGTATGCTGCTGTGAACCTGGCCTGTTTGGCTCTTGAATGGGCTTCTGCACCAAACTTCAGGTACAGTGCAGCATAAGGCAGTGGCTTACCTTTCTGCTTTAGATTTTATTTGCACAGGTAAAACCAAAATAGAACATTTTCATACATGTTCTTTCATTTTTGTTTATTTCTGTTTTTTTTTAATTTTTTAATTTTTTTTTTTTTTATATTTAGACCCTCGTTCCGTTTCTTTACATGGCACACCTGCACTCTGGGTATCCTCGGCTGCCTGGTCATGATATTTTTGATCAATGCAATTTATGCATTTGCCAGCATAGCCTTTATGCTGCTGCTCTTGATGCTTATCCACTATCTGGGGCCCATCAGCAACTGGGGCTACATCAGCCAGGCCCTCATCTTCCACCAGGTGCATAAAGTGTTTTTCACTCACATGAATCACAAATGTGGCATAAATATGCATGAATCACTTATATTTAATCATTATTTACTCTTTTCTGTAATTACCAAGGTGCGTAAGTACTTGTTGATGTTGGATGTGCGAAAGGACCATGTTAAGTTCTGGAGGCCCCAGGTGCTTCTGATGGTTGCAAACCCTCGCAGCTGTACAGGCCTCATGACTTTCATTAATGATCTGAAGAAGAGTGGCCTCTATGTGCTTGGACACATAAAGCTGGGCTTGCTGGGTAAGAAATGTGTACGCTGGAGCCCGATCTAGTGGATTATAGAGTACTTTAGGTCTTAGAGGGAGATATTTGTACCTCAGTGATAGTCTTTGATGAAAAGAGCTGTTATTTCTGAGTGTAAATCAGTTTTAATGAATCCTAACGTTAACGAGATTTCACAGTGAGAGGGAAAAGTGTTAAAACAGAAGTTTGCTTGTTTTCCCTATGAAAGTCTGATTCTTGTTATATTGTGTGTGCCTCTGTGTGTGTGTGTGTGTGCAGATGAGCTGCCCTCTGATCCTTTGCAGAGTCGATATGACTCCTGGCTCTGTTTAGTGGATCATTTGAAAATCAAAGCGTTTGTCAACCTGACCCTGGCTGACTCCGTCCGACACGGCGTTCAGAATTTGCTTTTCATTTCAGGCTTTGGTAGGTGGCTTTACCTTTACTGTTGTAGGATTAGGTCCTGTCTGTCACTGAGCAGTAGTTATGGCAGCATTTCCAATATAATACATCATTTTATCATTCATATTTTTCTTATTCAAAGCACAGTTGATACAAGTCTTTGATTCTAGGTGGAATGAGGCCCAACACCCTTGTCTTGGGTTTCTATGATGACTGCACTCCTCATGACCACCTCCAAGGTCATATTCTCCTGTCTACAGGCCATAGCTTTGATATGGTCTGTCCAACCAAAGTCCCTGGAGAGCAACGCTCTCCCTTCTTTCCCAGTCTGCGGGGTGCTGAGGACCCCAAAGACCTCCAGGAAGAGGAATACGTCTCTGTGATTGCTGATGCTGTAAAAATGGGAAAGAATGTGACTCTGGCTCGGTGTTTCGACCAGTTCAACCGGGACAGAGTCTTAGGGTCAGGAAGAAAGATCAGAGGTGTGGCCGGGCCATTCATTGATGTGTGGCCTATGAATCTTCTTCAGCCAGACAGCCATAGTTATGTTGGCATCTGTTCATTGTTTCTTCTCCAGCTGGCTTGTGTGCTTCACGATTCCCGTGCCTGGAACCAGGCGAGACTCCGACTCTTCTTGTGCATGGAGGCTGGCTACAGTCTGCAAGAAAAGGAGGAAGCAAAGCTCCAGGGTATGCTTAGGGATCTAAGGATCTCAGCTCGGGTGCAGATGGTGGCTTGGGATGAGGTGGTGGCGCTACACTGGCAGAGGCAAAGAGAAAGGGCTGAACAGAATGAGGAAGATGAGAGAGAAGACTGTAACCAGACATATCCCAATAATGCCTCTCAACTTACAGATGAGTACATCTGTGCCGTCAATGATATGATTTGCCGTCATGGTGTCCCTCAGCCAGCTGTGCGTTTCTTGTATTTGCCACACCCCCCAGCTGATAGAAGCCGTTACCGTGCCTACCTGCATCAGGTGGACCTGTTGAGTCGAAACCTTGGACCGACATTGCTCGTTCACGGAGTCACTCCTGTGGTTACGACTGACATCTAGAATTTTACTAACTCTTTGTCATCGACTAGCAGAATCTAGTATCGTTCATGGACGGGGCTGTGCCTGTTGCCTCCCGATTTATTGACATGTTAGTCGTCAACCACAGTATTACAAACGATGAAAACAGAGGCAATCCCTTTGAAACTGAGATTAGGCCATAGTGGCATTAAGAAAATTAATCTGCACTTTTTTTGTGTGAGAGGAGATAATTGTATTAGTAGAAAGCTGATTGGATATTAATGTATTAGATTCTCATTTATTTGCTAAAATATTGCTGCCACAGTTGGGTGTCATCTTGCTATTGTGTGCTTTAAATTTTTCACAGATTTATAGAAAAATAAATGATTGTATTACCTGAATGGCCTGTTTATAGTTAGTAATTGTTAGCTACTACAAAAAAAGTTACACCTGAGTGTTTCCTGTTGAACCTGCAGAGGGCGATATTTGCCTAGCAAACTGCCCACAATCACAGCTATGCAAGTAAGAATTTACAAGGCTCTTAGTGCACCACAATGGTGCAAATACCATGTAACTGAATGTGTACTACAAATAAGCTAACATAGACTGATCTGCTCATTCAGAACTCTCCATGTGGTCGGTCTGTTTATGATCGGCTCTCTTGCCAAGATGAAGAATGCAGTTCCCAGAAAAACGGTTGAAAACTTTTCAGGGCTGACAGGATCTCCTTCTGAGTTGTAATTATGGACCAAGTCAGTCTTACTAAACTAATAATAGAGTCCTATGTGTTCCAAATTAAACTTGGAGTCAAGTGTTTTCATTATTATTTTGGATATGACTTCTAGGAGGATTATGTTTGCTGTATACAAACAGCAAAGCACCATTGGTTTAGCACTGAGGGAGCTAAAATTAAATCAAGAAATATTAGGGGCGAATGTCAGGGCGCTATGCCACAGACTGGGTCATCCAACATGACATTGACCTGGGGTGTACAAATAAATGAACAGATGGTTTAAAGAAAAAGAAACAACAATTTTGGTCTATAACCACCTTGAGATGCTGTGGTGTGAGCTGAGCAAGGCTGGACAATCAAGAAATCCCCTAAATACTCATTGTGCACTTCTTATCAGCATCTCCAGGAAATGATGCTGTTGCTAGAGAAGTTTCTTTGAACTACTAAATTCAAGACTTCACTTAGTTTTTCCAGCCTGAGCTGTGAGTGATTACTGAACACGATCATTAAAGACATGACTGTTTTATCCAGTCAGACTGTGTTGTACTATAATTATTTTATAATGGGATTTTTACTTGTAGTGCAACTTTTTTGCCCCTCGGAATAAATCCAGTGTGCAGATGTCGTATCTTTAAGTGTTTTTATGCCACAGGATAGTTTTAAAATAAGAATATGATGTAGATTGCTTGATAACAAGGCAAACTCATCTGTTGCTTTAAAAGCTAATTAAAATACAGTGAAGATTTTCTGAATGACACTATTGTTTGGCACATGTATGCTGTGGTGGGTGAGGCGGCGCATACTTAATAGGAGCCAGCGGCATGTCGCATTTAGAGAAATTCTAATGGGTTTACAGCAGAAAACAACACCCACCTACACATTACTGTCAAACAGTATGTGGGAGGGAATTTGTTCACAGATGGCAGCAGATCCAAGGACACCGAGGCACCTTTTTCTCCACTTTTCTAATGAGTGCATTTACTTAGAAGTCACAAAGAAGCAATAGTGCACCAGCACACGGTGACTCCTGTGATCTGACAGTGTGGGCGCACATCGAGTCTGGCCCATCTTTTATATTTAAGGTTTTAAGCTGAAGGTCGGACTCGCTTCAGCGCCGCTGGGAGAACTGCCGGTGCAGTAAAAGTGTAATAAAAACACTTCTGGGCTGTGATACTTTTAAATACAGATTGCTGTAGTCCATGAACAAAAAAGTAAGAAAGTGTTGTTCTGACATAGTGTGAAATACTGGGTATGAATACATTTTTTTTAGGGCTTGTAACAGCTTAATCTTGAGCTCCAAACACTCGCAGAAGTAAAGATGCTTGATTAGGTAGACTCAAAGCTATATTAGTGACTAAAATTATTGCTTAAATTATAAATTGCTTAAAATACAAAGGAGTACAATGCTGTTTGTTCTTGTCTGTGATTGATTTAATGATGTTGGGATTGGTCTACAGCAGGGGTGGAGAACTCCGGGCCTCGAGGGCCGGTGTCCTGCAGGTTTTAGACATCCATCCATGTCAACACGCCTGAATCAAATGATTAGTTCATTACCAGGCCTCTGGAGAACTTCAAGACATGTTGAGGAGGTAATTTAGCCATTTAAATCAGCTGTGTTGTCAAGGACACATCTAAAACCTGCAGGACACCGACCCTTGAAGCCTGGAGTTCCCCACCCCTGGTCTACAGGCTTCTGGTGCAGTAAATCTTTCCATTTTAGGGCTGTTAGCCTTGCTTATGGTAGAACATTACAATGTTTGACGGTTAGGCGTGAAATATTACTAAATTAAAGACTAGAAATCTTAAAAATCTATATATATATTTTTAGGATTATAAATCTGCACACATTTCCTTGACACATCAGTGTCCAAAATGACAAATAAGAGCCAGTCAGGGGTTATAAGAAAAGCAAGAAAAATGCTCCTAACATAACAATTATGTTTACTGACTGGTTTTTCAGAAATGATAACATCTTCTAGTATCCACCCCTGAACATAAATCTTTCCAAACAATCAGACTCTCCTCGTCTGTGTGTGTGTGTGTGTGATTCCTGGTCCAGTCTCCAGGAGCAGTGAATGAGATGAGCAGCCACAAAAAGAACAGCCGGTTTCTTGAATGTAATTATAAAAAAGCCAGGTTAAATACACACAGAGTCTAACTCTCTACTTAGCTGCTCTTTTAAACATGCAGAGTAATTATATGCACAGCTTGATTTGAGTGGGGAACAAGTCCAGTGGGCATTGGCAGTCAGGCAGAGGACAGAGGAAGAGATGACAAAAAGACAATTGGAGGTCTCATTGCTGGGCAAGGATTTAAACACAGCAGTTAAATGGAGAGAAATCACACTCAGAGGATTAGTCAGAATGAAAGACAAATACTGAGGGCCCCACTTCAGCACCAAACAGCTGTGTATCCACCCAGCATCACCAACTTTGCTCCACTTTCAAAATGTTAATGAGCACCTGATCTCAGTCAATCGAGCTGACCGGGGAGCTGCAAAGCTTATAAAGAGTTTATAAAGAGATAAAGTGAATAATGAGCAGAAACAAGTTTATTGCTGCGGTCTTCCACAACAGTCCCAGTCCCTCAGTGTGGCTCCCATGGGGAAAATTAGTTGCCCACCAGTTTGGCATGACACTGAGCTGGCTGATGCAATTTGCCAACAGCAGATTTAGTGATTGTGGGCAACAGCTATAATGCATCTTGTGACGAAAAGACGGTGCCAACTGTTGCATACGTCACATTTGCTGCAGAGCTGCATATCTTTCGTATAAGTGTATCGACACCCGCCTACACCTCACTGACAAACTGCGTGTGGGAGGGAGCACGTTCACAGGCGGAGGCAGCCTGGGCTCTGAGCACTATAAGGGGATGCCACGTTTACAGTCATAAGAGTAACTCGGAGTGTTCAACTATTTTGGACTGGATACAACGTGCAGTAGTCCTACATGCCTCCTACGAGGAGAAGACTTTTTGCTTTTAGCGCGTATTTCTCGTGCAGCACTGGGGACTGGTTTGAGGGGGATTCCTTCATGCCCACAGGTTGACTCACTTCCGACTGACCAGCTGTAGAATGGAGAAGTGCTGATATATGAAAAGTATAAAGAAGGATCAGTAATGAAAGAAAAAAAACTGGACCTGCCTTTAGTCTTTAATTAGTGTACCAAAAACAAAATACTATAGACAGTTTGAGAGAAGGGGATAGATTAATGCCCTCCTGGCAAAAAGTTTAAATTAGGTCCAAAACCTTACATATAATTCAGGTGGTCAAATCAATTTTTTAACCTCCAACTTACCATAAATGGTATGAGAAACATCAGAGAAGCAGATTGTTGATATGGCAGCAAAAATGGTAATGACTAAAAATAGTTAAGCTGCTCATATGTTGCTGCTGGGATGACGATATCTTTGCTAAATTTCTGTTCAGAAATCTGTTTGCTTGGATTTGAGATGGTCGGACTGCTCGTCTTCCTGTTGGTTCGATTCCCTGCTTCATGCCAGCCCAAAAGTTTGTATGCTGTTTCTACAGCCATAAGTAGCGTTCCAAAGGATGTATTGTATAAATGATAAGTGAAAGCAAATCAAATGCTTCTGCATATCATCCTCTACAAGCAGTATGACAACGATTTTTGATTCTTTCACTTTGTCTTTGAACAACAGTCTGTGACAAAGAACGGCAAATTTGCAACCTGCCATTAATATACAAAGAGCAGTCTGGGAAATGAAGTATATTTCATGTATAAATTCACATGCCATTTCAGTAGGCACACCTTGCTAGTACTGGGTTTGACCACCCTTTTCTTTCAGAGCTGCATTAAGTAATTGTTTCACAGTTTCAATAAGGTGCTGGAAACAGTCCTCAGAGATTTTGTTCCTTATTAATGTGATTGCATCACACAGTTACTGTCGATTTATCAGCTGCACATCCATGATCCAAATCTCCTGTTCCACAACACCCAAAAGGTGCTGTATTATTCTGTGATCTGATGACTGTTTCTGTGTCACGCTCAAGAAACCAGACTGAGGTCATTGGAGCTTTGGGACATGCAGGAAGCAGCAATTAGAAAATGTATACACTGTTGTTGTAAAAGTATAGACATGGACAGCAGCAATACTCGTGTTTTGTGTTTAAATGATGCTCATTTGGAACTAAGGGGCCCAAAGTGTGCCAACACAATATCCCCTATGAAGAAGGCATTTCCACTCAGCTAATTCCCTGGATAATTTTTGTTTTTCTGATCACTCTCTGTAAACCCTAGAGATGACTGTGTGGGAAAATCCCAGTAGATCAGCAGTATTCACTCAGAGCAGCCCGTCTGGCACCAACAACGATGCCATGTTTATCATCTTTCTTTCAAAATTTTGATGCTTGGTTTGAATTTCAGCAGGTCATCTTGACCATGTCTCCATGTCTAAATGGAGTAAATTGCTGCCATGTGATGGACTCATCAGATATTTACGTGAAAGAGCAGTTGAATGGGTGTACCTAATGAAGTGGCAGTGGGTGTAATTCACCAGCTGATAGATGACGGTGTGTTTTTGTCACAAGTGTCCTCACGTGTCTTCAAGCATTGCGGTATCATCAAGTCTTTTCTGAATTTCCTTCTCTGACATCTCCTCTGTAGTCTTGTCATTATTAAACCTCTGAAAAGACACATCTATAAGTTCTGATTAACCATCAGCTGCATTTTCTTAAAGTATGAGGACCACTCAAGTGAAAAATAGTGTGAGTGGGAGCTGGCCGCATAGTGCTGCCAATATATGTACGCTGATGTAAAATTTTCCCACATCATCTGCCTCTACTCTCTGGATCTGCACTAGTGACGTAGTTCAAACTGCTGTTACTGTGGAAATGGCTCCACTTCATGTGAGAGTGGGCGGACCGGGAGGATATGTCGTCAGTTTAGTCCTGTGGAAGTGTACGATTCTTTCTCCTCCTGCTGCCACAGCATCCATAGGCCTAGTTCAGGTTGAGATTTTACTAGAATCTTTCATGGAAAATAAATACTTGATCTTAAAAGTTTCACTTCCTGGTTAAATACATGTTAATAAATAATCAATTCCTAGCATATTATTTAGTTTGTAACTGGGGGATAAACAAAAGAAGGCTTTATGAGTTTGTCCTGTCAGTTAAATAGACAGATTTTTGTCAGATGTGGTCATGACTTAAAGGAGTAAGTGACTCGTTTTAGATGCATTTGTGTCTCCATTTACTGCCCTACATTAAGCAAATATAACTGTTATCAACTGAGACCACAGCAGGACCTTGGGCACAGTGTCAATAAAAATACTGATAGCTTTGGTGTATGTTTGCTTTCAACTTATTCACTGCTTTTATTTGATAGTCGTTTACTGTATCACATTGCTTTATTCTTTGCACACAGGTGGCTAAACTGGGGCACTTGGTCGAACCTGATGCAGCTTTGCCTGAATAAACTTTCCTTCATGAAGGTTATAATGTCCATTTTTAACCCTCTTGGAGAACTGGTCTAATTTCAGACTTAAATTTAAGGTGCTGCTGAAGTGTAGCTCATTACATGGATG